GGGACGAGATCTCCATAGTCACACAGCGACCTCCACAGTCACACAGGATGCGAACTCCATAGTCACACAGAGATCTTCACAGCCACACAGGATGAGACCTGTGTAGCTGTGGGGGTCCCATCCCTACACTGGGTCTGCAGCTTGGGTGTGAGGGAAGGATGCCACCTAATATGAAGGATTAACTGCTCCCCTTCACTGACCATTATCACCTGCTATCAACATGTCACGGAGACAACTACTCTGTGACTCAAGAAAGACAGCCTGGCTTTCCTCAGAGCTTGTATGTCAGCCAGGCGCAGTGGCTCACACTGGGAACCCCAGCACTTTGGGTGGCCAAGGCGGGAGGACTGCTTGAGTCCAGTAGTTCCCAAGCAGTCTGGACAACGTAGGGAGGCCACACCTCTCTCTTTAAAGGCCTGAGAGGTTAGTGTTTGTGCAACAACAAACAAAAACACCAGTTCTAAATCAAAACATAGCCTTTCTCTGAAACCTTTCTAGAAATGCAGTCTTCGGTTTTCTGTTGTCTCATTTAGCAAAAAGTAGGACTAAAACATAGAGACACAACACACAGAGGATGTACTTTCTTCAGGGAGTTAGTTATTACAGACCTAAACTCAGGTGGTTAAACAGAAAAGATCTATGCCTTCCTAACATTCTCCTCTACACATTACAGGAGGAAAATGATAAAAACAAAGTCACAGGCTGGGCGTGGTGGCTCACGCCTGTAATCCCAGCACTTTGGGAGGCCGAGACGGGCAGATCACAAGGTCAGGAGATTGAGACCATCCTGGCTAATACGGTGAAACCCCGTCTCCACTAAAAATTACAAAAAACTAGCCGGGCGAGGTGGCAGGCGCCTGTAGTCCCAGTTACTCAGGAGGCTGAGGCAGGAGAATGGCGTGAATCCGGGAGGCGAAGCTTGCAGTGAGCTGAGATCTGGCCACTGCACTCCAGCCTGGGCGACAGAGCAAGACTCCATCTCAAAACAAAAAAACAAAAAAAACAAAGTAACAAACAGAGAAACAACAGGCCAGCTGAGGCCCACACAGTGTAAGCAACAGGACTCCTAAGGGGTTTAGAGGTAAAGGGAGACTGAGCAAAACCAAAAACCAAACACGAAACGAAAACTTTCAAACTTGGGTGAGAATTGGTCCTTTCACATAAGATTCTTTGGCAACATATACACCACCCCACCTATACAAAAACTTAGACTTTATTTTGAAACACCAAGTCAAATGTATTGCCTGCTTGATCAGACATCAGTAATTTCACATTTGCTTGTCTTAGATTTCTATCCCACTT